TATAAACTAATATATATCTGTAATTGGTGGCTGCATTGAAAAAAAGTTTTCAGACTCATGTTTGATTTTCCTCATGAGTGGTGATATGAATTTTCAAATCATATTTCATAATTTTTAGTAGGGAAGATACATTTCATACAACTTTATTTCTAAATGGCAGCCAAATGCATTCAGATTGTGCCACTGAAATATATCACATTTTAATGATTTTTTTCCCCCTGTTGTCATCTTCATTTTGACACCTAGAATTCTTAAAGATACTTCTGGTGATATTCTGGGTTAAAATGTCAGTCCTAATTTCTTCTTTAAACCCTGGATACTGTAGACTTGGCAAAGCAATTCAAATTTGAAATATGTTAATAAAATAGTCTTCAGTTAAAGTATTGTTCTTCTACAAAAATAGATAGGTATTCCTACAATGAATGCCAAGGATGTGTCTCCTTTATTTTGTTATAATGGAATTCTCCATTGTGAAGGAGGAAAAAAAGCATGAAATGAGTTCCATGATCCTTCCTTGTAGGGGGATTTTCATTATAATAGCTTGAGTTACACCGGTTGATTCTCATTATTCCAAGTTCCATAAATTAGTGCCTGAAGGAAAACTTGAAAATTAAAGTTGGTACATCAGTAAGTTCTAACTGAATAAATTAGAGCTTTATACTGATAGTTGTAGTTTGCTAGAATCTGTCCTAGAATAACTGCCCTTGAAAATATTTTACATTTTGAATCAGGGACGCCAAAAGTTAGACCCTAACAACTAACTTTGCTTCACAGGATCTTTTCTTCCTGAATTCCTATTTACTTCTCTCCAATCCTATTGTCCTATCCAAATGTTCTTGTCAAAAGCTGTCCATTTTTACAGTTCCATAAGTGTTTGACTGAAGGATCCTCTCACTCTTTTGTCATTATACCAACACTTCTAGGAGTAGAACTGTCAATGGCTCCCCTATGCCTACTAAGGCCCCTTAGTCTGGCATATTAAGACTTTTCACAATCTGGCTGCAGTTTACCCTTCTAGTCATATCCTGTAGTACTTCCCCTTATGTATTCTGAACTCCAACCAAAATGGATTATTATTTGCCTCCTAAACAAAGCCCATGTTTTCCTCTTTTTTTAAACTTTGCTTATTATTCTATTCCCTAGATTTGAAATGCCTTTTCCCCAATTCTAACTATTTACAAGAGCAGGTAGGTGGTACTGGACCCAGAGTCAGGAGGACCTGAGTTCAAATCCAGCCTCAAACACTTATTAGCTATGTGATTCTGAGCAAGTCACTTAACCCTGTTTGCCTCAGTTTCTTCATCTGTGAGACGAACTGGAGAAGGAAATGGCAACTCCAATATCTTTTGCCAAGAAAAGCCCCCAAATCACAAAAAGTTGGACATAAATGAATGACTGAACAGCAACTACTACTGATAACCTTCTATTTTTCAAAACTCAATTTAACTACTACCTCTTCTATAAAACCTTCCCAGATGGTTTTCAAGAGCTGTTATGCCCCCTCCAAAGTTATCATCCTACAGACAACTAAACATAGCCAGGCTGATCCTTGGAAAACAGATATTCTTTCACCAGGCCCATATCAAGATTTTCCAGCTTATAGGATCCATCAAAGTTTGTATTCTGCTGGCATAGCTTTTAAGATTCCATTATCATTTCTAAAACACAATGAGACATACAGTGCTGAATAAATTTTTGATAAATAAATGAATCACTAGAACACTGAAGAACCATGTGCTACCTTAGTGAATCAGAGGTTGGCACTTAAAAGTTTATGATGGTAGATGGGATAGCAGAAATAATTTGGACTTGGAATTAGGAGTTCAAGTTCCAAGGTTCAAGTCCCAAATCTGTCACTTATCTGTATGACTCGAGCAAGTAAGTTTCCCTCTCTGGTATTCAGTTTCTTCATTTGTAAAATGAGAGAGTTGGACTAGATGATCTTCAAGGTCAGCCCAAATCTGAAAATCAATTCTACTTATGAAGTTGTACTTTGCAAAGCACACATGAAAGAGCATCGTTATGTTTCATGAATAGGCTGAAAATCATACTTGTAGTGACAATTATGAAAACTTTTTCATTGCATATGTCATAGATCATTTGCAGAAAAGAGCAGAAACACACCTGTGTGCAAACTGGCAAAGAAGCACGCTGTTTGGTACTTCCATAAAGTAAAGCATTCATCATAAACTACTATATAAGGCATTTATCATATAACATTGCATATCCTATCTATCTAAGTTAGTATTTTGTCCCTCTATGAGATACCCCCTAAAGGTAGGGAACTAGTCTTATCTAAACTATGTACTTCACAGGCTGGATAAACATTTGTTGTAATGTGCCTACATAAAACCTTCCCTGGTCTTATTTAAACTGAGAGACACACCTGTTAATTTCAATAGAATTTCAGTAGGAAATGGCTATTTTATAAATAGCTCCAACTTATACTCAAGTCCCTCTGCTAAAGCCAAAGTTAACAAAGTCAGAAGTTTTATCTAATGTTAGGATAAAAAAAACTTGCTACCTTTCCTCACAGTACTCACCTCCTCCTAATTATTCAGATTACCCAAGACAACTACCACCTACTCATCTATTCTTGTTAAAATAAAATGAACTTCGAGGCATCTTATGGAATCTTGGACTGACAAAGACCTTAGTCTTAGTCCAATCTTCCACAAAAAGCAGGAAATCCTCTTGACAGAAAAACTAATCTCTGATTGAAAACACTTCATGGCTAGGGGAATATAACCATCTGAGTTCATCATTGATTACGACAATTCTTTATTACCCAATTCCTAATCAAACTACAAATACAATAGTATACAAAATACCATACCAATTTTATTAGATATTTCAAAATTTTTCAAAAAGTTTACAAAAGCAAGAATTTTTTTTCTCTCCAAAGTAATTCAACTCTAATAGGTAAAGCTACTGACATACCAGAATTGTTTCCTATTTATTCAGAAACAGACATGTGTACCTCCAGATATTTTATGCTTGTTTCACAAAAGCTGATTTGTTTATAAATTGTGAATAGGCATAATTTTTTTATGACGGCATATATTATGAAGACCATGTGTACGAAAAGAGACCATAAGATATTCAATACTAGGATTACTTCTTGAAAAAACAGCTTTCACAATCATTATGACAGGTATGTTTTTCAGCACATTCAAGAAACAAAGCAGTATGCTAACACAGAATCAATTCTTTAAAGAATAGAATTCTGTAACTTCACATATCTAAAATGTAGTGAGCTTCATTCCCCTAATTCACATGGTGTTTTTATGTTCTGATAGTAAATAAGAAATTTATTTAGTACTATGTACAATGTATCTCTGTACTAAGTAATAAGAAGAAACAGAGATGAAAGATATGGTATCTGCTTTCAAAGACACCAATCTACAAGTGATAACATGTGTTTTTAAATATATGGAATAGTTGCATTCCAGCATAAAATTATTTTATTGATATGTTTTCATTGGCTCCTATTAATAATGTAGGAGATAGATTCTGGGGCTTGTTAGGTTGAAAGGATTAACAAAAACCGAGTTAAATGAACAGTAGGTATCAGACTCTATTTTAGAATAAGGTCAGTTTCATCAGTGAAATATTGTGAAGTAAATATTGTCTATTTAAGACTTGGGAATTAACTTGTTGTGATCATTTTTAAAATCACACGAAAAACGAATTTAGCTATAAAATTCAGCAATACCAATCTTTTTCCCCTGTAAAGTTAAACCGGTATATGGTTATGAAAAGGATGTTAGCTTGCTAAAATAACTATCCTGTTTTACTTTGAATTGGTTCTTTTAAAAAATTTAGTTGACATTCATCTTAAATCATTCTCATTCTGCCATATTATAAGGATATAAACAAACTAGCACACATACAGGAGGGTGGAGGACTACAAAACATGTCATACAAAGACCAGCTGAAAAACAGAAGATTAAGGGAACAATGATAACTATTTTCAATTGATAAAAAAAATCTAACATATGGAAGAGATTACTTTTTTTACTCGTCCCCAGAATGGAACTAGAAGCAGCAGGTGAAAGGGTCAAAGATGCAGATTCTGGTTTGATCTAAGAAAAAATTTCCTAATTAGAGAAATTCATAAGTGAAATAGGCACTCTGATATAGGTATTTCCCATCACTAAAGGTCTTCAAGTGAATGCTGAGCAACTGTTTGTCAGAAGTAAAATGGGATTGCTTTTCAAGTACAGTTTGGATTAGATAGCTTCTGAGTTCCTTTACAAATCTGAGAGTCAATGTTTCTATAAATCAGGCCATTCTTTAAATAAACAGAAGGGTGAAAATAGGGAAAGCTTTCACAACCTTAGGCTTGCAAATGTTGAGAATTAAGTATCAAATAACAGTTAATAAAATTTAATTAGATTTTAGTGGGTAAAATACATTGTTGGCAGTTCAAAATGTTCTCTGAATGCATTCAAAACCTACTAAAAATACTAATAGTTATCAAAAGCAAATTATTTTCACATAATCATCCCAAAAAAGATTTAATGAGGCCATAATAATTATAAATTATTAAATCTACCAAATTTTTTAAAAGTCTTTGAGAGGGGCACTAAAAAAGAAAAAAAAATAGGAGATAAGAAGCATATATAACATGAAATATGATAAAGTTCTAATTCAAATTTTTTCATTGTTTTCATTTTGTGAAACTAAATTTAAAAGAGCTTCTCTTCTATTGCAAAGGGCTAAAGGAAAAAGAACTAAAATTTCTAATATACTAACTACATTCCTGTTCATCTTAGGCTTAAGGCTTTTTTAATGGCAGTAATCTAATTTAAGAGGTGGGAGACTTTTGAAACTTGTTACTTAAAACTATAAAGGTCTATTTTTTATCTCAGGAGACATGATACATACTACTCAATCTATAATTTTATAGTTAAATTAATTACAATTTATTTAAAACTATTTCACAAGACACATTCATTACTACAGAAAAGAATAAATCAATTAAAATATTTTCTTACCACTTTTATAACACAAGGGGCATCACTGCCAACCGACTTTGAAGAATTAGTATCAGCTGTTAAAAAAATTTAAATATATCACATCAGAATAAAAGGTATAACCTTTAATAGAAGATGCTATTAACATATACACATTGAGGTCTATATAACTTTATCCCTCTTTCAAAATCAAATAGTTCAAGATGCTTATTCCAAATCTTAAATTCTGTTCTCCTGTCAACTACAGAAATTTTAGGAAAGGTCTCTGTCATTTTATTTCTTATAGAAATAGCCTTCTGAAAGGGCAATAATAATAGTAAGACTATCTATATGACATGTAAGCAAACACTTTTCATCATTTAAGAAGTAACATTCCAAGGAAGACTGTATCATTCACTCTTCACACCAAAGAGGGAGCTTTTTAGTCCCAAAGATGGTTGAAATGGACAGATGGGAGAGGTCTGAGCTCCTTAAGGCATAGCCCCAGGAAACATGTCACTTAGTGCTTAAGTGATGAAGAAAACATGGTCAAATTTAAAAAACAAAAAACACACACAAAAAAAAGGATTTAGTTTATAAAAGATAGACAATATGAAGTTGAAATAGTTGCACAAAGTGGTAATACAAACTTGGTTGAGGGAGAGGGGCATGAGAAAAAAGTACCCAAGACTGAATTTTGTAGAATCATATCTCCCCCTCCAGGCTGATTAACTGAGGTTGATAGAAATATGTATCTAGAACTGACTCTAGATTTCTAAAATATTTCATAGTATGTCTAAACATTAAAATATTTTACACTTTCTGATGACAAATATTTCAAAAGAGCTAGCATGAACAGAGGTCACCTGATGTGACAAAGGTTACAAACTAGAACAAATACAACCTCCTAACTTACAGTTTACTGATTTGACTCTACTCAGACCAATTTTACCTACACAAAATTGAAAGGGGCAAGACTATCTTTAGAGTAGGGCTTTCTAACCTGAGGTCCATGAGTGTTTTTTTTCATATTTTGATAACTGTAGTTCAATATAATTGGTCTCCTTTGTAATTCAATGTACATTATACATTTGAAAACATTATTCTGAGAAGTCCACACACACTTCACCATACTTAGAATGGGGTCCATGACACAAAAAACAGGAACCCCTGCTTCAGAGCAAATATCCTCTTGCAGGAGACATCTTATGATATCATTTATCCTAACCCTTGTGAAGACAATTAAAGCAAATATACCTGGCTAATATGTCTTTGTCCTCATTAAAACTTGATATGGAATCAAGTTGTTGAAAATTCTTCTTGAATCATGTTCCTCTTTCAAAAGCTAGATAGATCACTGGGGGTATCTTTGCCCCCTTCAAAGGAGACACAAAATTGGTAACTACTAAGTTGATTAGGGGAAAATCAGACATTTCTTATACGAAGGTACTAATCAAGTTCTCAAAGTCTGTAGAAAATGCAGATTATGTTAAGAGGAAAATTAGGAACAGAAATATCCTACCATGCCCATTAGGGACCAATATTCCCAATCCTTTTCTCAGTCAAACTCCTTGAAAAAGCCATCTGCACTTATTGCCTTCACATCTCTCCTTTCAACTCTTTTCTTAACCTTCTGCAATCCAGCTTCTGAATCCATCACTCAACTGAAACTGCTCACTAGATCCAACCATTACCACTAGCTGTACTCATATCTCTCCTCCATTTTTCCCCCGGGTTAGGGATTGTTTCAATTTTGTCTTCATATCTTTAGAGTTTAGCAGAGTGCTTAGAATATAGTCTCTCTTTTTTTTAATTAACTTATTTTTGGTTTTTAACATTCGCTTCCATAAACTTTTGAGTTTTAAATTTTCTCCTCCTCCCTCCCCAAAATGGCATGCAATCTGATATACATTCTATATATACATTCCTATTAAACATATTTTCACATAGAACCAAGAGGAGGAACCACAAGAAAGAAGAAACAAAACTAAACAGAAGAGAAAAAAAGAGGAAAAAAAGCAGATAGCATGCTTCAATCTGCATTCCAACTCCATAGTTCTTTCTCTGGACATGGAAAGCATTTTCCATCACGAGACTTTTGGAGATGTCCTAGATTCTTGCATTGCTGAGAAGAGCTAAGTCTATCAAAGTTAGTAATCGCACATTGTAGCTGTTACTGTGTACAATGTTCTCCTGGTTCTGCTCACTTCACTAAGCATCAGTCCATGCAAGTCTTTCCAGGTTTTTCTGAAGTCCGCCTGCTCATCATTTCTTATAGCACAATAGTATTCCATTACATTAATATACTACAACTTGTTCAATCACTCCTCAACTGATGGACATCCCCTCAATTTCCAATTCTTTGCCACCACAGAAACAGCTGCTATAAATATTTTTGTACATATGGGTCCTTTTTCCATTGGTATGATCTCTTTGCAATACAGCCCTAGAAGTGCTTATGCTGGGTCAAAGGGTATGTACATTTTTATAGCCCTTTGGGCACAATTACAAATTGCTCTCCAAAATGGTTAGATCAGTACACAACTCCACCAACAATGCATTAATGTTCCAATTTTCCCACATCTTCTCCAACATTTATCATTTTCCTGTTTTGTCATGTTAGCCAATCTGATAGGTGTGATGTGGTACCTTAGAGTTGTTTTGATTTGCATTTCTCCCAACAACAGTGATTTAGAGCATTTTTTTAATATGACTATAGATAGCTTTAATTTCTTCATCTGAAAACTGCCCACCATTTGTCATTATTTTATCATTTATCATTTATTTTGGGAATGACATATAGAATAGTCTCTTAATAAATCCTTGTTGACTGACTTGCACTACCTATCTCATAGGCTGTAAGGAAAGCATTCTGTGTACAAAAAGTGCTATATAAAAGTGAAGTATTAATGTGATTATTACTACCAAATACCCTTAGTAAAGCAAGCAATATTTGCAGCAATTGGATTAAGAACATTTTTTAAAAAGTTTTTAATCCGCAGGGTCCAAGGGTTCCACAAAAGGTCTCTTCAGCATCCTTAAAAAACATTAGGACCACCTCTACACTTCACTGCTTTTAATTATATTACTTGCTTGTTTTCTTTATATGATACCAAACATACTGTTAAGATTATGGTTTACCTTGAAGCCACTGATCTCACAGATGACAAAACAGCACAGAAAAACTTTTATATCTCAATGAATTAAACAAACAAGACCTTCTTTACCAACTCCACTATAGAGACATCTATTTCAATGTAAACTCGCAATGTTTATTACAGTTGTTTAGCCACATTCTGTAATGGCTCCACTTTCTGGAACACCAATTGATAAGAAAAAAACTGTTTAGGATGTGTATGCATGTATGTGTACATATGTATGTGTACATATATATGCATGCACGTGTACAAACACACACACCTATTTATGTATTTGAGACCATAAACTTACCAAGATATATACATCCAAAACCACCTTGGCCAATAGGTTGTCCTACTTTCCATTCCTTTTTGGTCAGGTCAATTAAAACTTCCCCTACTGAAAACTGTTCCGCTAGCTTTCTCCGTGCTGGACCTTTTTTTGCAGGTTGTGAGGTTTTCACACGAGGCATTTTTGCTATAAGACAAAACAAAGTCTGTTAAATTATGTTTTAATCATCTAAACAGGCTCAAATTAGTTCTCTCAGTAAATGTTTCCAGGCAACAAAATGTGTTGTTAAAGTTTCTACTATCCCTAAGATTTCAAAATGGAAGTTATTTAATTCTGGATTATAATACTAGCTTAGAACCTACATAGTTCACTTTTGGACCCTGGAAGGAAAACACAACTAAAACAATCGATCTATTCAGTTACTTTCAAGAAAATAAGTAATAATGATATATTTTTAGTTCATTCATATTTATCTCCATTAATTCAATATTTTATGCACTATAGTATGATAATCTTTTATTAGTTAAAATTGTTACTTTTGGCAAAATAGTCTGTAAACAACTAACAGCAACACAATGAAGTTTTACAAAGGAAAAGCTATCTGTGACTAAGTGTACACCAAGAAGAAGCTGAAATTTTTTTAAAAAAAGAATTACAAAAACAATTCTATGCTGTAAACTGATCACAATGGAGATGCACAAAAAAAAATTTGTGGCAATTCATTTCTTTTCGTGAATAAAAAAACTGGTCATGCCACATTTTCTTAATGTTTCCTGTCTTTTTTTTTTTAAGATTATTTCATTTTTTTAAGAATTAAGTTTAGCTCAGAATCCAGCAAGTGTGGTTTTATGGTGTACTAGAAAGATATTAGATTAGTAAGTTGAGAAAGCAGTTCCAAGCCTGGCTCTACACTAATTAGGTATGGGACCTAGAAAAAACCCTGAAATTCACAAAAGACTGAAAAATGATCAAGAAATCCCATAAGGAACTACAGTTAGTAACATCTCTCACCACAAAACTACAATCAGGCCAAAGTCCACAGACAATAGAAAAAGGGGTCCTTGCAATCATATCAAGGAACAATTTGAGCAGAGGTAAGACATGTATAGCGTAGAAGATTCTTTATCTTGAGACAGCAAGAGTAGAGGAAGAAAATCCCAGTTTCTAGGAATAACAGCAAGCAGTTTGGTGCCTTGGTATGATTGTGACATCTCAGGCCTCTTGATACCCCTAATATCCTATGCTAAGATGCCAGAGAGTCATGAAGATTCAGTACTCTGAATAGCAAAGATCTAAAGATCTAGGCTGGGGGCTGGGGAGTCAAATTCTGAGAGGTCAAGGTCAATACTAGAACCTAGGAGACTCTGAGTGAGACCAAGAAATGCCTAACAGAGGCAGCTAAGTGGCGCAGTAGATAGAGCATGGGCCCTGGAGTCAGGAGGACCTGAGTTCAAATCTGGCCTCACACACTTGACACTAGCTGTGTGACCCTGGCCAAGTCACTTAACCCCATTGCCTAGCAAAAAAAAAAAAAAAAAAAAAAAAGCCTACCAACTCACCCAAAAGTGCAATAGGGGTGGAACCTAGCCATGACACAAACCTTCAATTCAGGAACTAAAGTAAAGAGATGATTAAACCAAAGATAAAAATGTCAGGTTTTTTTCTAGTTGATAGATTTTGCTAAATTGTTTTCTCATCTTTTTTTCTCCTTTATTTTTTAAATTCTATTTTAAAAGAGATGGACTTCAGGGAAGTGAAAAGATGGAGGACTGCAGAGGGAAATGCAATCAATGCAAAAAATAAAGGACATAAAAAGTTTTTTTAAGATATCAGTAAAAAAAATATTTATGTATATGAAACGTGGCATTTGAACCAAGATCTTCCTGGTTTTGAGGTCAGTGTCCTACTAGGCAACACAACCTCTCATGAGAAACATAACTCAAATTTTAAAAGAAAATTCTTAGAGAAATTATAATAAGGTATTTTACCTCTATTTTGAAAAGTTCTATGCTATAAATTTTTGAATGTTAATAAAGGAAAATATTAATGCACTGCAGCTGTAGTAATATTGTTGTTACAGAATAATTAAAAAGTAATATACATCCAATGGGACCAGCATGTTGTGTCTTCATGTGTTTTTATTTTTTTATTTTTAGTGAAAGGGAAACATCCAAAATAAATGCAAATGACTATATTTCCTTTAAAAAATAGAATAGACATATCAGTGATGTAACTTGAATTGCCTAATCTTTTAAAAATTTATTTTTCATCAAATGACCACTTTAGGTACTGTCTACCACATAATTTTGTTAAACTTCCTTTTAAAAATTTTTTTTTACTGATTATCTTTAAAAATTTTTTGTATCCCTTCTTTTTCCCATTGCCTACATTTCCTTCTGCATCCCTCCATCTCCCCACTTTCCCATCCCAGAAGGTCATCTTTTAAAAAAAAAAAAAGAATTTTAAAAATAAAGAAAAGATTAAAAAGATGAGAAAATTTAGCAAAACCTATCAAAAGAAAAAAAAATGTGACCTTATTTGCAGTGTTCCATAGCTATAGACTTCTTCACTTCCGCAAAGAAGTTGGGGTTAAATGTCTTCTCTTAGTCTCTTTTTGGGGCCAAGCTTATTTGTAATTTTGTAACATTAATTTTCAGTTGTTTACTGTTGTTCTTTCCATTCACATTGTTGTAGTGACTGTACATAAAGTTTTTCTAGCTTTGCTTACTTTGCATCATTTCGGGTAAGTCTTTCCATGTTTTTCTTTATTCATGATATCCATTTCTTGTAGTACAGTATCATTTTATATTCATATTCACTTGTATATATACTGGTGGTGTGACATTGGGTGAGTCACTCAACCATTCAGTACTCTAAGCAACTCTCCAAGATTTTTAGTGGCAGAGAAGGTATTGGTCTACATTGGTAAGAAAAGTTTCCCTACCAATGAGTTCCTGTTATTCTAGTGAAATCATAGGTCCAGTCCCTATCCTGATCTTACATTTCCAGACAGGAATGGGAGGTTCAACATTCAGAAAATGTTAAATACCTTTTATACCAAATACTTCAAAACAATATAATAGAGTTTACCTTAAAATAACTAAAATGCAGAATTCATATATCAAAGTTGATACATTTATGTCCTATGCTGTACTATCTCATTGAATTTTCAAGAATCACTCTCCTGATTGACTATTAGTAATTCATTTTAAGTTAAAGTATTTTCAAATTACTTTAAAATGTTTTTTGTCTTCTCTATAACTCAGCAAAGTGATTAGAATATCTTTTGTATTTTTCTGGAATTTCCTGCCAAGGGAATGACAGGAATACTTGAGTTTTATATGAAACAATTCTAATTTTCTACTCAATTTCTGGTCTACAACATAAGCCCTATGTTTTTTAACTATAAATTTTTCTTCTCTAAATTAAGCTGTTTGTCTTTGTTTTCAGTTTTCATCATGTAGCCAGATAATTGAAATTGATTGTTGTGATTAATGATGGTTTGGAACGACTTTATTTCTTTCCTAAAATAGTCCTAAAGAATGACTGTCGTCTCTTGTCACTCTGCTGAACACTTAAATCACTGGTGCTAAAAGTAACAATCAGCATAATATAAAAACTAGGAAAGGGGTGTGTTTGTCAAAGAATATGTCCAGTAACAAAGTCACTGTCACCTTTGAAACGATTACTTAAAGTAGATAAGTTCCATTTATCTTTTTTATTACTGAATATGCTCAGTTCTGTGTTCAACACATACTTGACCTCTGTCCAACCCTGACTCATCTGTACCTATTCCACCGCCATGCCCTCAACTTCTTAAGATCAGTTCCCAACACTTCAGATTAAGAACTTCATTCAACCTTCAACCCTGCCATGCATGTGCACAAATGCACACACTCACATGCACACACACACAAACACACACACACCCCTTGAAAACAGCCCTGGATGCAACACCACCACCACCATCAGAGCACGTCAAGAATCATCACATCAACATTTATCCCTCATGAAAATCAGCATCCGAATCTCTGAAACACCAGAAAGAGGGGGTCAGGATAACAGCACCCTATTTGTTAAAGGCTGCCAATCCCCAAGTGGTTCAGTCGGAAAAGCAATGGATTTAGAGTCAGAGGATTCTGGATGAAATATGGACTCTATCATTCACGTAATTCTCTAGACCTCAATTTCCTCATCTATAAAATGTCAGGATTGGACCACATGACCTCCCAGGTCCCTTTGTAGCTGCAAATCTGTGATTCTGCAATCCTGTGACAGTCTAAGCAGATGTTTTTAACTCTTGAATTCCCTTTCTAGCTCTAAATCTATAGTCCTAAAACATCCTATGCATGTGCCCTACCTGCCCACATGACCCTTGACCCCTTATTTTCACTGACATCCACTCTCAAAATAACTTCTAATTCTGCCCTTTCTATACCAATTCTGTCCCCAGATCATGATCATTGCACTAGGAGTACTTATAGCACCATGGCAAAAGCACTAGATTTGGAGCTGAATGATCTGGAGTCAGATGGCAACTAGCTGTGTGATCTTGAGCAGGTCACCTAACCTCTCTGGACCTTAGTTTCCTCATCTATAAATTGAAGAGATTGGATTAGATGACTTCTAAACATCCCTTCCATCTCTTAAATTCATTATTACCTTATTATTCTGGGTTCTTCCTCTGGACTCCTCTGACTCTGGGGGGATTCTAGAACAGAATCTTCTAGTCTGTCGTCATAACTCTAAGCTCAGATCTATTTCCAGAATTCCCCCTCAGGAAATCTTCTGCTGGGTTAATGCAATTCTTAGCCCCTGAGGACTCCCTCCACACTCAAAACCAGAACAAAGGCAATTAGACTTAAACTGTCAGAAACACAAAGTTGAAATGAGTCTTAAAGGACATCAAGTTCTGTACATTCTTGAGAATTAATCCCCTTTACAATTTCCCTGAGAATTATTCAACTTCTTCTTAATGACCTCCAGGGATGGGGAACTCAGTATACCCAAAGAGAAAATAAAGAGAGAAAAGGTGCAGAGGGGGCAGGAAATATGTAGAGAGAGAACATGTGGAGTATACTTGCACACATATACACACAAACATGTGTGTGTACATGTATCATAAGATTCCTTGAAAGATGTAACTGATAATACTATTCAACCCTCTTAATATCAAATGAGGTAAA